TCAAGATCTACAAACTAATCACCTATTACTATTAACTATGAGTTTTTAAGTGTTTGATATTATTTAATTAATAATAATTTTGCTCAGTCTTTTGACATAGAGCTCTCCCTGGACCTATATCCTCCTGGAAATTCCATACAGATTACCATACTGTATCACTATATATATATATATATATATATATATATATATATATATAAATAAATATAAAGAAAAGAACAGTAAGATATATAATCCGGTGTTTTATAGATATTTTTATTTTTACAAAATAGTGCTCAATGTAAATTTACAGAGCATTAATATTATAAATTAATTGATTTAAAATATGTTTTTTTTCGCTAGACAGTTCTAACCATGTTTCAAAAATGGAAGCTGAAAGTTCTGAAGTTAATTTTGTAATTAAATTAAAGACGTTAGTTCCATTTCATCCTCAAGCGAATTTTGGAGTAACTTTTAAAATTGACTTGCATTTTACGGATGTCAGAATTCATTGAAAAATACATCCCTACCCCCTACCAAAACGTAACTAATAACTGATACATCAAAATACAGCGATAATGAACCCGCAAACACCTCCAGTCTGGTTGAATGGATTTATCTGTAACCTTGGAAACGTGAATTATGATTTTAGCTGTGTCTTTAAAACCCAGTAATTTTAAAAGTTACTCCAAAATTCTTGCTTTCAGCTTCCATTTTTGAAACATAGTTAGTGTAGTATAGTGAAAAAAACATATTTCAAATCAATTTATATATATATATATATATATATATATATATATATATATATATATATATATATATGTGGAAGGTTACAGGTAAAGAGAAGTCACAAACATTTTTGGTTATCATGTGGATTTTTTTTAAATATATATTATACATTACTTTCAATATATTTTTGCTCCACATGTTTTGGGTCTTGTGGCCTTCATCTGGTGAAGAGTGGTTATTTCCACATATTATTTAAAGGAATTAATTTTTCTTATGTTTTCCCATGTTTAACCATCCTATTTTGTGTGTAGTAGTAAACCAAATTTTCTTGTACTTGTGGAGAAAATATTCTTCTACTTAAGGGATAATAAAACAATTAGGATTGGGTCAGAGAAAGGGGGAAGGAAGGAGGTATTTACTGTTATCCTTTTATGACCTCTGTATCTTTTTAAACCTCCATTTTTGTGTATTGTGTGTGTTTTTGCTAGTATGTATCTACATATTCCTTCTCCATACATATATACTGTTTTATTATAAGGAATATATATATATATATATATATATATATATATATATATATATATATATATATATACACACACACTTTGTATGGTGTGTAGGGCTTGTAAGTGTGTAAGTGCTGTTATTAGTTGTACTAACTGTGAAGTAAAAAAAATGTATATTTATTAATATATATGTCATTTAGTGCTCGGTTTCCCTTCACAAAAGCAACATTAATTTACCAGATAACAGAAAATTGTTTGTATCACAACACGTCTACAAATGTAATGAAGGTAAATTTAAAATTATGACAATATATCAAACAGACAATTATTCTTACCTACAAATACAAGAAAAAAAACTTCATAGACAAATTTAAACCAGCACTAAACAAGTCATAACCCCACAACATTCACACATAAAGGGCAGACACACTAGTTGGACTACACACACATGCACACACCATAGAAATATCCTTGGAGAACAAATAAATACACATACTGACAAAAACAAACACACTAGATGAACCACAAAAACACACACAAACCCTACACACCATACAAAGTGTGTGTGTGTGTATATATATATATATATATATATATATATATATATATATATATATATATATATATATAATATATATTGTCAGAGTTAACTCCTCCTTTAGTACATTAACCCTTTCACCAGGGTTCGCTCTTCACTGCTATAAATAGCCGCTAACCCTTCGCCTCTATCTCTTTTTTCCTTCAGGCCTGTGTGCCGACACCTTGAGGTAAATCTCTCCTTTTCTTCAGGCTTTCAGCTTACAACCTCAAAATGTAGGTGCTAACAATTGATAGCGTGGAAACATGCTAAGCACAATACACACACATGCACATACAGAATATTCACACACGCACGCACGCACATACAGAATATTCACACACGCACGCACGCACATACAGAAAATTCCCATACACTTCATCCTTTGTACTCTTTCCATGTATTGTAACTTGTTATTAATATATATTTGTATATACATATATTATCGGTCTTGTGTTTTGTTTTGTTTGCTTTCTTTGCCTTCTTCTTTGGACTTAATCAAAGTCCAACCTTTTTATGTAGTTAGGCTCGGCGAGCAGGAAAATCTGAACCTTACATGCATTTCTTCTATGTCTGACTTCTATCAACAACATAACAGCCACGGCCCACTACAATATACTATTTCCTCATAATAAAACAATATATATGTATGGAGAAGGAATATGTATACACATACTAGTAAAAACACACACACACAATACAGAAAAATGGAGATAGGTTTTAAAAGATCTCTTCTTTTATGTATGGTGTCCCTTCAGGACATAGGCAATCATGGTTGTTCATTTTCTCCTGTTCCCTGTAGCTCTCAATCAGCCTTGACTTTTTGTTACTTCTCCCAGACTTTGTGAGATCATAAAAAGATAAGAAAAAGACCCCCTTCCTTCCACCTTTCTCTGACCAACCCTAATTGATTTATTACACCTTAAGCAGAAGAAGATTTTTTTTCACAAGTCCAAATAAATTTGGATTACTATAAACACAAAAGACAATGGTTAAATATGGGAAAACATGAGGAAAAAATTAATTCCTTTAAATATCATTATAACCAAAAATGTTTGAAAGATATATATCTATTGCCTTAGCAATTCACTCCTGAAGATGATCTGAAAGTATTTGGGAAAATAAAAGAAATAAAAAAAAATTACAGCACCTTCCTTAATGAATTTAATATCAACATTAAGAAGTCCATCAGAGAATTCGAGAGGATTATAAAAACAAATTTGAAAGTCACTCTGTCCTCAAATTTACATTAGAACTTAATATTAATAATGAAATTCTATTCCTTGATATATTTATTGATTCCAGCACACATAAATTTACTACTTCTCTATATAGAAAACCCACTAGCATTAACTTGTGTCTTCTTAATTATAATAGTGTATGCCCCCAATAATAGAAGTTAGCCATTATAAAAAACTTAATCCAATGCATGCAAATGATATCTTCTTCCAAAACTATATTTTATAAAGAATTACATAACATTAAACAAACATTTGTTAATAATGGATTTCCTAATTCTGTCATTGGTCAACAAAATTAAGATGTATCTCAATAAACTTAATCATACCTCTAACAAAATTGATGATATTAGTAATAATAATGTATGCCAAAATAAACATAATACTATTAACTTATACTACTGTAACCAAATGGATAATAATTACAAACATGTTGAAAGAGCACTCAAAAACATAATAGGTAGAAATGTTAAACCCATCAATAATATTAAACAAGTTAAGCTCATCATATATTATAAAACATTTAAAACAATTGACCTTATTGTCTCTAATAAGCCTACAACCACACAACTAAATCCTCTACAAAAAACCAATGTAGTGTATCAATTTACATGCCAATTCAGAGATTGTATCTCTCATACTAATAATGCACCCACTACATATATTGGTTTTATTGCAACCACGCTCCCTCATAGACTTACCTGTCACCTTTCTGATCTTAGTTCTATTAAACAACATTTCTTAGAAAACCATAGCCATGTACATAATATTAGACAGATATTAGTTGATAACACAATAATACTCAAACATACACACAGTAAAAAGAACCTTCAAATATTGGAGGCCATCTACATTAAAACAAAGCAACCCACACTCAACAAAATTACATTTCAAACTAGTCACAACACATTACATTGCATCTAGACATATGGTTCTGTTGTAAATATTTTACTTTCTCACATGGTACAACATCATAGAATCGCATCATGAATTTACGACAGTCATCTTCTATTTCACAACCATTATCATGGCATAGCAATCTTCTATGTCAGCATAACAGAATATCATCTTTGATGATGAATATCTTTGTTTAAATATCCATATAACCAATCTGAAAATGGCTTATGTGAGCCAAAAGCTTAGGTCAAGGAACAGCTTAATAAAAATATCCAAATGTTGGGCGATTTTTGTCTTTATTTTCACCCAAAATTAAAGCAACCATACGGAGTTTAGAACGGCTCATGATCAAGTATAGCAGACATTCATTGTCTGTTATATTTAACAATATATGTTTAAATAATGATTCACTGTCCCAATACACTAAATATATATCTGCTATTCCATGACAGTTACAGTAAACTTCTATGTAAACAAAACAGTGTCATCTTTGGCGGTGCACGTCTCTGTTGTTATGTCCATATAAGCAATCTGATGATGGCTCATGTAAGCTGAAACTTTAGATTGACAACCAATATAATAAAGAAATATCCAAATGTTTGACAGTTTTTGTTTTTATTTTCTCTAGAAACTAAAGCCATTATACAACACCCAGGACGTCTCATGATCAAACATAATAGACATTCGTTGTCTATTATATTTAACAATATATGCTTAAATAATGCATTAATAGATATACATTTTTATCTCACAGTTAGTATGACTAACACCAGCACTTAATGTGCAATACTATATATTCATATTTACATTTACAAGTTTCATTAAAAAATAATTGCCAAGGTATTGGGGCTAAGTTCTTTTGTTTTGGGATGTAGAATATTTCCTTGGTATAAAGTTGTAAAGCTTTTTAGTAATTATTTGTCTGTATTGAGGTTGATATAATATTGTGCTTCATTATATTTGGGTTTGGTCCAGGTGTTTTTTAGAATTGCACTATGCTTTTGGATTTTGTTATTTAAATGTTGGTTTTCATTACATGACTGAGCAGCCAATAAGGAAACTAACACTGCAAGATTAAGATAGATAGATAGATAGATAGATAGATAGATAGATAGATAGATGAAAGAATGGACTGTGATAGATAGATAGATAAAGAGATAGACAAAAGAATGAACCTCGATAGAGAGATAAATAGACAGACAGACAAAAGAATGGACCTAGATAGATAGATAAATAGATAGTAGGTAGATAGATAGTAGATAGTAGATAGATAGATAGATAGATAGATAGATGAAAGAATGGACCTAGATAGATAGATAGATAGATAGATAGATAGATAGATAGATAGATAGATAGATAGATAGATGAAAGAAAGAATGAACATAGATAGATAGATAGATGAAAGAAAGAATGGACATAGATAGATAGATAGATAGATAGATAGATAGATAGATAGATAGATAGATAGATGAAAGAAAGAATGAACATAGATAGATAGATAGATGAAAGAAAGAATGGACATAGATAGATAGATAGATAGATAGATAGATAGATGAAAGAAAGAATGAACATGGATAGATAGATAGATGAAAGAAAGAATGGACATAGATAGATAGATAGATAGATAGATGAAAGAAAGAATGGACATAGATAGATAGATAGATAGATGAAAGAAAGAATGAACATAGATAGATAGATAGATAGATGAAAGAAAGAATGAACATAGATAGATAGATAGATGAAAGAAAGAATGGACATAGATAGATAGATAGATAGATGAAAGAAAGAATGGACATAGATAGATAGATAGATAGATGAAAGAAAGAATGGACATAGATAGATAGATAGATAGATAGATAGATAGATGAAAGAATGGACCACAATAGATAGATAGATAGATAGATAGATAGATAGATGAAAGAATGGACCACAATAGATAGATAGATAGATAGATAGATAGATAGATAGATGAAAGAATGGACCACAATAGATAGATAGATAGATAGATAGATAGATAGATAGATAGATGAAAGAATGGATGAAAGAATGGATAGATAGATAGATAGATAGATAGATAGATAGATAGATAGATAGATGAAAGAATGGACCACAATAGATAGATAGATAGATGAAAGAATGGACCACAATAGATAGATAGATAGATGAAAGAATGGACCACAATAGATAGATAGATAGATAGATAGATAGATAGATAGATAGATAGATGAAAGAATGGACCACAATATATAGATAGATAGATAGATAGATAGATAGATAGATAGATAGATAGATAAATGGACCTAGATAGATAGATAGATAAATGGACCTAGACAGATAGATAGATGAATGGACCTATATAGATATATGAATAGACCTATATAGATAGAGCGATAGATGAAAGAATGGAATTTGATTGATAAATAGGTAGATAAAAGAATGAAGATAGATAGAAAAATGGACTTAGATAGATTGATAGATATATGAAAAAATTGACTTAGCTATCTAACTAGCTAGATAGATGAAAGAACAGACTTAGATAAATAGATAGATGATAGAACAGAGATAGATAGATAGATGTGAACAGGTTGGGACAGATATTGAATAGGATCAATATTTAAATATTTTAAGAAACTAAAAGAGAGAGTAAAAGCTAAAAGATATTTTATTATTTTTTCTTCAAATTGTCTTTTCAAAGTCAATCCACATTAATGGCCGGAGAACATCAAATTAAAAAGCAACAGTTCAAATAAATTAGAAAACTAAGAGAATTCCATATTTCCTCTTTTTATCCTTTCTTCAAATATTGAATTAATCTTATTTCTTTTTCAAGATTCAAGATGACGAATATTTGATTATTGGTGAGAAACATTCACATTTCAATGTCTTTATTTGTTAATCTAATTTTAATTTTAATTTTCAATACATACAAGCCAGTTTTTCAAGTTAAGTTTGACATTTAATACAATTATTTTTATTATTATTATTACTTTTACCATGATTTTTGAATGGCATTAACAGGGTCACCTGTTCACTCTGATTATTCATGCTATTTGTTTGTTCAATGCAAAAGTTATCATCATTATTTTTTGAAAAATTTTAGGAAAATCTGAGAAGTATGTTTTAGATATTCTCATCTCTATATTACTTAGGAATATAAAGCTATTTTTAAGAATTGTTAGCAAAAAAAGTGGTAATTTTACATTATTTTGTTGGTATTCATGACATATATATATATATATATATATATATATATATATATGTATGTATGTATGTAGGGCGTGTGACTGAGTGGCTTGAACATTCACTTTCTGACCATGGGACGCGGGTTCAAATCTCATCATGGTCCATTTGTAAGGAAGGCAACTTCCTGATGTTATTGAACTAGATTGAGGTCAATCCCAGCATGCAGCACCCTTGGAAAGAGACTGAAAATCATAACACGGATTGATCCAAGCCTTATGAGTGAAATTGGGTAGCCAGGACTCTTGGGGGCTGTTGATAGTTGTGCTAGCACAAAGCCACAAGTCATCATAGCCAAGAGCTCAAGTGTGCTCATCTTGTTCAAATTGTTGATCATGCTAGATAATACGCTCTCTCTCCCAGAAACTGTAACTAAGGTCTGCTCGGCATAGTTGCAGTATAAACCACATATTGGGGTGAAATTATTAAAAAAAATAGAAAAAATATACAAGGATTGATACTGCATATCAGTTCAGCACTCTTTTCTTTGCTTTTAATGAAATTTTCCTGTTTCATAATACTCTGTTTAATTTTTAGAGGACATCTTTCACTATTCCAGTGTGCCTTTGGATTTCTGTGTCATATTCACCATCATCTGTTAAAACATGTCCCACATTTTTGTACTTGCTTGAGTTTGACCTTCCCAACTTATAACTCTTACCTTGAGCTGTTCCTTTTGCTAACGACCATACATTCTGTCCTGTTAAAAGTAATGATTAGTCATTTTTGGTACATTTTATTACATTATCTAGGAGTTCCTGCAGTTTTCTTCCTGTGTCTGCCATCAGTGTCATCTATGAATTTTGTGTCATTTCTTAAAATAGACACTTATACAAAGCTTGAGAAGCACACAAGGTATAGAGTTATATTAAAATGGTAATCATAAATGAGGTTTCTGTCTGAATTTCTGAAATGAAGAGTTATCATTATTTACATATGGAGTGTTATCCTCATCTTTGTTGTTGTCACAATACTTCAGCCATTTTGCTTTTCTACCTTCATCAGGTGATTGTGGATCAGGGAATTTTGAATTAAACCCTTTATTTAATCTACAGGGGTAGAAAGGGAAATGCAGGTTCATATCCTGCTGGGGTGGGGGACATTTTCTTTAATAAGATTTCCTGATCTGGCTGATAGCAGAAATAAAATACTGTTTAAAATAAATTGAGTGTCAACTCGTATATAAATATCCACTAAAAATAACATTTACAGTATATATATATATATATATATATATATATATATATATATATATATATATAGTTAAGTAATGAAAATCTTGGTAATCCGTATGTATAATCCCAAGGAGGATGAAATCCAGAGAGCTCAATGTTAAGTCACTTCATATAAGCTTAGTACTGCCCTTCAAAACTGTAAGTTTTAAATTCATTTTTCACCCTTGAAAGTGAAGTCTGAAGATCCAGAGAAAAATAAAATCTCTGGTGAAATAAATTCTAACAATGGAAACTTAAGGTGATCTGTTTTTTCTTTTTAAAAATAATATATATATATATATATATATATATATATATATATATATATATATATATAACATAAATAGATTCAATTTTAAAAAATAAATCAGTTTGTCTGATGATCACAAAAATGTGAAACCCAGTGTTACAAACTCATATCCAGGCAATTGAAAAAAAAAAAAAAAAAATATATATATATATATATATATATATATAATGTATACAGGGTGCAATGGGAAAATTGTTGCCATTTTATATTTTCATTTCATATATGCGCATTGTTTATTTTGATTTTGCACAGTATAGTAGGGGCAGTTGGGTACTGTCTGGGAGAAAAAGAGCACCATGATGCAATTCACTCTGCCAGAAATTTGAAAACAGCATGCTGTACTGCTTGGCATTCTTGCCAAAAGCTCCAATACTAACATTTCAAAGTGTTTGTGCATAAATTTGAGGACAATGCAGGGGATTCAGAAAGAGATGGATGTGTCTAATAGTAAGTACGAAGCTGTTAGGAGCGATCATTAGTGATCATTAGTGATGGCAACATTGTGCCTCCATTCTTCCCACGGGGCCTCAGACTCAGGCCATAGACAGAGGCATACATCATGCCTTGAGGTTGTAATGCTGCCCTGGGTCAACAGAGTGGCTGCTGGAAGACTCTATGTCTGACAACATGACTCTGCACCATGCCAAACAAGCAGGAGAACCCAGTCATGGCTATCAGGCAATTTCTGCAACCACATCACCCCTTACATCTGGCCACCACATCACCCCTTACATCTGGCCACCTAACTCCCCAGAATGATTATTATGTGTGGCATGTAGTTGTGTGAGAGACCAACAAAACTCCTTGTAACACCAAAGATGAACTGAAGGCAAGGATTATGGCAGCTTTTACCAACTTAAACAAGGAGACTGTCCAGAAGAGTTGCAGGAGATTCCAAAGTCATTTGGAGACCATGGTTGAAAACAATGGTGATTTTATTGAATAAATATACTCTTTAGTATTTCAAGATATTTTTGTGGAATTTTGTTATATTTACCAAAATGACACAAAAATATCTTGAAATACTAAAGAGTAAATAATATATCTGTTAAAATGATGTATGGGTGGTGGTGTGAATAGCAACTCAGTATGAAAAATCAGGAAGCCAATTTCAAATTTATTATAATCACTTTTGTGCAAATATGAATCATCTCTTCCCCCTACTGTAGGACATATATCTGGAATATCTAGTAGGACATATATCTGGAAAATAATTGTTATTCTCAATTAAACATTGTTAATGTAATATTGACTCACAAAAAGAAAAAATTATTCTTACAACCTAAAACACATTTCAACTTAAAATAACACATAAAGGGTTGATAAGATATAAAAAAAACAAATCATTTGATTAATCTGAGATGTAGCAAAACAAAGGATCACAAATTCAAAGTGCACTAAAATAAAGAGTTAAATATCCAAGGTGTAGCAAAGGAACAATTGCAAATCTAAGGTGTATCAAAATGAAGAAACAAAAATCCTGAGTGCGACAATACAAAGAGTCCCAAATTCAAGGTGTACCAAAACAAAAAGACCCAAATTCAAGGTGTACCAAAACAAAAAGACCCAAATTCAAGGTGTAGCAAAAGGAAGAGTCCCAAATTCAAGGTGTACCAAAACAAAAAGACCCAAATTCAAGGTTTAGCAAAAAGAAGAGTCCCAAATTCAAGGTGTAGCAAAAGGAAGAGTCTCAAATTCAAGGTGTAGCAAAATGAAAAGACCCAAATTCAAGGTGTAGCAAAAGGAAGAGTCCCAAATTCAAGGTGTGGCAAAAGGAAGAGTCCCAAATCCTAAGTGTGTCATTTGCTTACATGCTAATACTCTTGGGAAAGGTATGAATTTTTTCTTCTCCCTCCAGCTATGGGTAAATAGTAGGACCGACCGGGTGCTATAGTCTTGGATAGCAACTGGTCTACCACAGAAAGAAATGGCAACCTATTGCAGGATAAAACTGCCTTGTCAGTCATGTATCAAAAGATACATGATCGCCTAAGTGTGTATCATGCATAGCACATAACTGAAGTGTGCCAAAATGAAGAGTCCCAAATTCCAGGTGTGTAGTGATTCCATCTATGTTGAGAGATGGTCTATTCCAAAAAACCAATTATTCAAATGAACACAATTCTTTATCAACAGAAGACACACTCTATTTGACGCTTTTATTCATGTTGGTCAAGTTCTCTTCTACAGGTCTCAAACCTTAGGAATCTGCAAGATGGCCATAGCAGGATGATGTTCTTCATAGTTCTATTAATAATTGCAATGTTTTTACTCAATCCTTTTTGGTAAGAGGTCTTCTCTTCATAAAACTCCATATTTTTAATTCCAATTCATCATATATTATAAGCAAAATATAATGACTTGTTCTGCTAGTATGTATAAATGAAAAATAATTAAAACTCTAAATATTTAGTTTTTATAAAAAATATTTACAATATTTACTAAGATCAATTAGAAAAAAATATTACTTTTAATATAGACAGGTATGAAGTGGTTCATAATGTTTTTACATTAAAATTAATTTCTCAATTTAAATTTATATTTAAAATTGTTTATATATGTATTCATAATTCATAGTCTCTTTTAATTTTTTTAAAATAAATGCATTGAATTTTTCAGTTTTAAGAAATATGTTGGTTCACTTTGTCTTCTAAATGCAAATTATTATTATTATTATTATTTTATTTTTTTTTTAGATTTCTGGCGTTTACACATTTTATTATTATTATTATTATTATTAATAATGATGATGATGATATGAAGCCAAAATATTGATACTGACAAGCACTTAGGCAACTGGTTATTCTTAATATTATTAATTTAATTAATTTTAGCATCACTACTGTATTATAATTAATATTATCCTAATTATTTTTAATTAATGCTTCTTTTTCTTCTTTTCCACTTCTTCCTTTTTCCTATTTGTATTCTCTTGTGTTTCTTCATATTTTTCTTTTCTTCTTTGTCTAATTTTTCTTCTATTTCTTATTTTATTCATTTTTTTCAGATT